TCCGTACATTATAGAAATGTATTACAAAAGCTTCAAGTCAAAAATAAAATTCATTACACAAGTAAATGTTTGTGTTCCTAAAAATACTTGGTATCATAAGCCATACAAAACAATTCTTTAGGCATTCTTAAAAGAAAATTTTAATTTTAAATTTTCGGCAGAAAGTCATCTAGTTGTGTTTCGTGTGTAGCTCTGTCGTTGTGGCTCAGTCTACGGATATGAGCATTGAGGGGTATCTTTTACAGAATATTAGAGATTTAGAGTATAAGGAAATGATTTGGTCAGGCGCACTTGACAAAATGATCTGGTCAAATTTTTTTGATAAAATTTTGTACTCATAATCTTCATAAAGATTAGATTATTTACACAAAAATTTCAATTTCTAATTCAATTAAGAAGTTAGTTAAATAAATTATTAAAAAACATTGCGATATTTAAACATACATAAAGCACACTGTTTTTCAATAATTTATTTAACAGATTTTCCGATTGAATTTTGATTTGACATTTTTTTGACCTAATCTACACTTAATGAAAAATATACTCACAAACTTTCATCAAACAATTTCATCCGAAAGCGTCTCAAATAGATTTGTGGGCCCGAGGTGAACGAGACTCAATATATACATTACTCCTAAATAATTTATGGGCCCTTCTTCCTGGTGGGCCCTGGGCAGCCGCCCATCCTGCCCCTATACCAGGACCGGCCCTGAGTCCAGCCTTCAACCATGGCTTTTGATTGGTTGATAATATGCTGTGCTGAAGAAGCTTTCTGATCCCCTGCCAAACACGATGTAAGGTGTTAGAGACTGTATAACTAAGTTTTTCTTAATTTATTTTTGGAAACACATTTCTTAATTTATTTTAGGAAACGCGTCCTAGTTGCCTTGGGGTTAGGGTTTACTTCTCTATAAATACAAGCTCTCTCCCTTGTAAATATGTGTGGATCAGAAAATAGCAATAACATTTCTGGCTTGGTAGCGCCCCCAGACGTAGTCATTCGTGGCGAACTGGGTTACCAAATTTCGTGTGTTCTTTAATTGTTCTTCGTGTGCGTGAGTTTAATTCCTAACAATTGACATCAGAGCCCTAGGTTCGAAGGGAGATCTCACGATGGCAGACAATTTGAAGACATTGTTGATGCAGTTTGATGGGACTGATTTCGGTTTCTGGAAGTTGCAGATTGAAGATTACCTGTACGGTAAAGATCTGTATCAATCTCTGGATGACAAACTGGAAGACATGAAGGAGACTAGGAGAGCGACTGGAAGTTGCTGGACAGGAAGGCGATGAGCGTGGTTCGTTTGTCGTTGTCCAGAAATATCGCCCTACACACCGTCAAAGCAAAAACGAAGAAGGAGATGTTGCAGATATTATCGGATATGTACGAGAAACCGTCCGTTGCGAACAAGATTCACCTGATGAGGCGTCTTTTTAACCTAAAGATGTCAAAAAGTACGGGAGATGTGGAGCATCTCAACGGGTTCAATTTAATCACTACACAATTGAGCGCAGTTGAGATCAAATTCGACGACGAGATTCATGCCATAATTATGTTGTCTTCTCTACCAGAAAGCTGGAACGAAACGGTGACTGCAGTCAGCGCTTCAGCAGGGAAGGAGAAACTGAAATTCGATGAAGTCAGAAATTTGGTGGTGAGCGGAGAATTTCGCAGGAAGGAATCAGGTTTGACTTCTAGATCGACGTTGAGTACAGAGAATCGGGGCAAAAAAAATTGGAAGTCCAAATCAAATCGAGATAGATCAAGATCGAAATCCAAGTCAAACAGCAAGGGCAAGAAGGACATGAGTCAGATCAAGTGCTGGAACTGTGAGGAGTATGGACACTTCAAGAGCCAGTGCAAGGAGCAGATCAATGATCAGAAGGAGAAGACATCTGCCAATGCAGCGGCAGAATCATCTGGCGAGGATCTCCTGATCCTGAGCGTGAGCAGTCCGTTCGAGTCATGGGTTCTGGAGCTTCGTTCCATTCATGTGGTAATGCTGAAGTGATGGATCAGTATACTCCCGGCAATTTTGGAGAGGTGTATCTTGTTGATGATGAGTCTCTTAAAATTGTCGGAAAGGATACAGTCCACGTGAAGACTCCGAACGGATGCATGCTGAAACTGAATGAAGTCCGACACATTCCTGGTTTAAGGAGAAATCTTCTTTCAATTGGGCAGCTGGACGAGGAAGGCTATGCAGTTACATTTGGCAGCAGAAATGGGAAGATCACCAAGGGAGCCTTGTTGGTTGCTAAATGGGAGAAGAAGGGAACATTGTACATGACGACGAACTCTAAAGATTGTATTGATGTTGCTGCCGCTGCAGCGAACAATGTCAATTTGTGGCACTATCGTCTCGGTCACATGAGCGAAAAGGGGATGAAGGAGCTGTGCTCGAAGGGTAAACTGCCCGGCCTGAAGACTGTTGAGGTTGGCTTATGCGAGGACTGCATATTCGGGAAACAGAAACGTGTCAGCTTCTCGAAGGGAAAATGAGCTATTAAACTGGAGAAGCTGGAACTAGTTCACACCGACCTTTGGGGACATGCAGAAGTTACATCCTTGGGAGGATCCGCCTACTATATGACCTTTATTGATGATGCCACAAGAAAGGTGTGGGTTTATTTTCTCAAAAATAAATCTGATGCCTTTGATGCTTTCAGGAGGTGGAAAGCTCTTGTTGAGACAGAGACACGTCTGAAATTGAAGTGCCTTCAGTCTGACAATGGAGGTGAGTATGAATTGCATGAGTTCAAGATGTTTTGTGCTGAGGATGGAGTTCGTATGGAGAAGACAATTAAAGAGACTTCACATCATAATGGCGTTGCTGAATGCATGAACAGAACACTGAATGAGCGAGCTAGATGCATGAGGTTGAAGAGTGGCTTACCTAAGATGTTTTGGGCGGATGCAGTGAACACCGTGGGTTTTCTCATCAACAGAAGTCCAATGATCTCGTTGGATAATGGCATACCTGAAGAAAGGTGGACGGGTAAGGAGGTCAATCTGTCATATCTTCGCATATTTGGCTGTGGTGCTTATGTTCATCTCAGTTCCGTTGACCGAAGCAAGCTAGACGCAAAATATGTCAAGTGTACGTTCGTTGGCTATGGTGGTGATGACTATGGATACAGATTCTGGGATGATCATAATAGGAAGATTATTCGTAGCCGAGATGTAGTGTTTAACGAGCAGGTTATGTACAAGGACAAATTGAGTGCACCTGATCCTGAGCAAGAAAGTTTAAAGATCATAGAGTAGTTTTCAATCATCTGGGGCATGTTCCGACAAATCATTTTTTTTCTTTAGAAGGCTTATTGTTTTTATTTACAAATATCCAAGTAGGCGTAGAAACGCATGATGAACTCACATATGCAAATGAACGAAATAAACTAGAAGCAAATCAAACCCGCCACATGTTTACCTCTAGACTCTTTAAAAAGAGTTCTAGAAGCAAATCAAACCCCAGACCCGTATGTTGTGCTATATAAAGTAACATTTAGGTAATATATCCAAAATTATATAAGATATTTGAATTTTCAAATTAGATTTTGTACATATCCAAAAATAAAATTTTGTACACGCAAGATATGATGTACTACAAAAAGTAACGTTTATGCAAAGTATCCAAAATTATTGTAATTTTCATTCACGTGATATTAAATAGCTGATGATGCCATTACATCATTTGTTTTTTTATGAGTGACCATACTTGTCATTCATGAGTTGTCATTTATTTCCGGTGACACTTCTAATTTCATTTTTTATAAACACGTAAGAAGCAATATAATATAGGGCGGATCAAAACTAAAGTAAATGTTTAATGGTTTGTATTTTTTTGTCTTTGTTTGATAAATGTCTTATAATCTTTTTTGGTTGGTTTGACCATATATTTGGCTGATTTGATTTTTAAACATGGCAAAACATACATTTGTTATAAGAGCTTCTTAGAACAACCTTTTTTACTCCAAAAAGCTAACTTGGACATGCCGCTATGTGCAGTGCTTTAGAATAGATTGTCCACATTACAAATTAAATTAAAGTCTCCACTCTTGCATCTTAAATTTTCTCCTTTTGTGTGTCCTACGTGTTAATGGTGTTATTATAACCATTTTTTTTGAAGAAATATTATACTTATCAGTAGTTGATTATTAAATATTTAAATCACTTTGGAAAACAAACAAACAAACAAATATTTTTTGCGTGCAATTTCGACACTGTAACGGTTAATCATAAACATAGAATTTTACCAAACATTTAAAGGGAATCAACCAACCGAATCGGCAAGTCAAGATTGCTAAATCAACCAGCCGGTCAACATCGCTAATTCAACTAGTTAAATGCTAATAGCTAACAATTACCAAATAGTGTTTTGTGTGACAATAAATGAGAGGTGTAGTGTAATTGGGGGAAATTTTCTCATAAGTTTTTCTTTCGAATTTTCAAATAATTGAAAAAAAAGAAAAACATAATAAAAAATTTCTTGCGGCATGTGGACAAAGTATGGGAATGAGTTTGGGGGGAAATTGAATATAAATTGTACTCCCTAACGACAAAAAATTGACTTGATTAAATAAAAATTATTTATACATTTGAAAAAACAAAAACTAATTTGTTTAACTAGTTGTCAAGTACCTTATAGTCTGATGTATTACTGTCACACTCTTAAGGAGGATGTCACATTTCAAATGCTATCCTGATTCACAAACGTTGGTCTTAACATAAAAAATATATTATACTCAAACAAGTGAGAAAACTTTGTAAAAAATACTACCTCTATCCCATAAAACTTGACAACTTTCTTTTTTTGGACGTCCCAAAAAACTTTGCCATTTATATTTAAAATAACAAATACTCCGTATGTAACTAAAGTTATTTCTTTCTCTTCTGCACAAATATAAACCACACAGTTTTTACTTTATTAACCTGCAAATCAAACCTTGGCCAAGTTTTATGGAAGTTTTCTACTTCCAAAAAGGAGAAAGGTAATACGATAGTATTGAACATATACCCAAACGGACCTGCAATTTAAATAAATAAATAGCCGCAAGGTGCTAGGTTTTGGGAATCGCTGGGAGACAGCAATACGAGCGCAGAAAGAGGGCCTCAATCTAGGCGCTTTATCTCTCTTCGTTTTCACTTCTATCGCTAGGGTTTTTTTGTTCCTCTCCTCATTCCTTCTTCAGCCATGAGCGACGCCAAAGACGCCCTCGATATGTCCGATCTCCGTGCTGGTAAGTTCAAATACCCCATACATACTTTTATATTTGGATATGCAATCGCGATATCCATCTCTGACTTGTTTAACTTTTGCTTAGCTTTGATTGTTAGTGTGCTTGTAGGAATTCTGATATAGTTTATTGGATTTACCTCACTACACTAAAGTGCGGTTATTTATTACTGTATTAGTTTTTGTGACTCATTTACGTTTTGTTTAGCTTTGAATTCAGATGATAGAGCTGATCTTGTCAGTGCTCTCAAAGTAAGATTATTGATTCTCCCTGTTTGTTGCATCGATTTTCTTAATCTGGTCATGATCCTTTGTACACATTTTTGTGTAGAATGTGGATTAAGTTCCTTTGTGAATATTGCAGAATAAGCTTCAGGATCTTACTGGGAAACACTCGGTTGTGCTTGAGAACTTGTCTCCAATTGTAAGAAAGCGTGTTGATGTCCTCAGAGAGGTTCAGGTATGTTGAACTTATACACGTTTTGTTTAAATAGTGGCCTTTTTACTTGTTACTCTGTATGTAGATCATCATGCTTATAGTTTCTATTTGAGCAAACTTTTATTTTTTCTACCATTTGGCCCTGAGTTGAAAATTATATTATTGCTTGAAAAGCTTTTACCTAGTTAATCGAGTGATTAACATGCACAAAAAGCTGTTAATTTAGTAGAATATACTCACTCTGAACCAACATTTTTTTTTTATTTTGTATATTGATTTTAGTGTTAGTAAATAGAATTTATATATAAAACAACTGCATTGAAGTTCTACTCATTATAAAAGAGGTGATTCTACTATCAATACACCAATTTGTTATTGAAAATAAGAAAATAGAGATCCTTTTCTGCAAGTATCATTTGAGCGTGACATCTATTATCATGGTATGATACCTGAATAGCACCGCAAATCATACTCCAGATGTCTGATTCCAAAAATAAGTATGTATTGCGGATTGCATGCTATTTCTGTTTAAATTCGAGTTATGGAAGTCTGTTTACTGGTTTACTTGTTGGACTTTTGTTTATGCACCTGCTTGGATTTTAGCTATATATAACAGTCTCGAGTGGTCGTAATGTGATACGGAGTATGAATTACATTTAAAGTTTTGGACACTTACATCTGAACTTAACTATTATTATTAATATTTCTTCATTTGTTTGATTGAGCAGGCTCAACATGATGAGCTGGAAGCAAAATTCAATGAAGAGAGGGCAGCACTGGAAGCTAAGTACCAGAAACTTTATCAACCACTATATTCAAAGGTTAGTATGGAATAAAGATCATTGTACAACCTGCATCTAATTTTTCATATGCTTAAAAGTGCTATTGGCTGTAAACAGAGATATGAAATTGTAAATGGAGTTGTTGATGTAGAAGGGAATGAATCAGAAACTCCTGCAGATGGAGGTGAGTTGCTATGGTGAAATCGACACAGTTTGTTCATTTATTCTGATTTATGTTGTTAAACTTTTTCCTTTTCATATAGGAAATGGAGTCCCTGATTTCTGGCTTACTGCTATGAAGAATAATGAAGTGTTGTGTGAAGAGGTTATATTTTGTGTTTACATACCCAGACATGCTTTATTTCATTTGTGTGTATTTTAGCAATTTGATGGATGAACCTGTGTTGTATGCGTCATCTACAATCTTATTCATGACAGATCACAGAACGTGATGAAGGCGCTCTTAAATATTTAAGAGACATCAAGTGGTCCAGAGTTGACGAACCTAAGGGATTTAAGCTTGAATTTTGCTTTGACACCAACCCATTTTTTAAGAATTCTGTTTTGACGAAAGTGTATCACATGATCGACGAAGATGAACCAATTCTAGAGAAAGCGATTGGGTAAAACTTTGTCCAACAACATTCTGTTTCCCTTTTGCAATTTTATCTAGAATTTTGCTGATTACTAAATGCCATCTTAAACGGTTTTTGTACTAACATGCAATTGTATGTGTTATTTGCAGGACTGAGATAGAATGGTATCCTGGAAAGTCCTTGACACAGAAAATACTGAAGAAGAAGCCCAAGAAGGGATCTAAGAATGCTAAACCTATCACTAAAACTGAAAAGTGTGACAGTTTCTTCAACTTCTTTAGTCCGCCTCAAGTTCCAGAGGATGAAGATGACATTGACGAAGATGCTGTATATGAACTGCATTTATATTATAGACTTGTTTTCTTACTAGTTACTAAATAAATCTCTGTTTTACTCCTTTTTTGATAAAACTTTCTTTTAATTTTGTTTACAGGCCGAGGAGCTCCAAAATTTGATGGAGCAGGACTATGAAATTGGGTAAATTAATACTCTTTCCCATTGATAATCTCTATGAAATGGAGTGAATGTAGTCTACATATTTCAGTTATGTTTTTGAGAACCTTGTTGCCAACTATTATGCAGGTCAACAATTCGAGACAAAATCATTCCACACGCTGTGTCTTGGTTCACAGGTGAGGCTGTTCAGGAAGAGTTTGAAATAGATGATGAAGATGATGAGGAAGATGAAGACGATGAGGAAGATGAAGATGATGAGGAAGATGATGAAGACGATGATGAAGAGGAGGATGAAGATGCTAAGCCCAAGAAGAAGGTAAGCACTATAATTCCATATAAAATTTTTTGTTCCCAACATAAGCATTGATTGACCATAAACCTCTTATGTAGTTATGACAATTAAAAGTATTTCGGTATTCAGATCGAGATTTACTCTACTGTTAATGATGTTTTACATCATGGCCTTTTTGTATACGTTGCTAACCTTTTTACTTTTTTTGAAACCTTGTGCAGTCTCCTGCTACACACAAGGTATGTCTTCACATTTTGTTTATGAATTTTCAAATGTACACAGTTTGATCTATCTTTAGCTGTACACAGAGGGGTTGAACCGATTATTTAATTGTGTACCAATAAACAGAAAACCGGACGGGCACCTGCAGTGGATGGCCAGCAGGGTGAGCGGCCTCCTGAGTGCAAGCAGCAGTAAAGAAGTGTCTCAAGGCTGGTTCTCCTGATTGGTCTGAAGGGAATGGGATGGAGAATTGGCTTAGTTGGTGTGGTGGTGCTTTTGTTGGCTTGAAGGGACAAAATTTTGATCTGTTTGCAAATCTTGCGTGATATATTATTTATTACTCGTATGTTTGTATTGTTTTTGCAAGTTACGTTACTATTATTTTGTTGGGATTCAGAAAATAGTTTGGTCGTCTCTTGTCATCTCGTGAAGTAAATTGTCTTGTTGGAGTCGATCTAATTGGAACATTTGTATTGTAGCTTCATACTCTTAATCCCTTTACTCCCCCATTATTTCATCCAAGTGGAATTTCGCTTCTTTTCTGAATTTTAAGGTATTATTTTGTAAAATCAAGTAATCAACGTTGCTCCGAACTTGATTTATTCCCATTTTGCATGTGTTGCCCGAACAAAATTAATGAGTTATTACCTACTCATTATAAGTTGCAGCAGTCTGGTTCTTGATCGGTTTTCGATTGCTTTGCTCTGGTATGGAAATTATTACATATTGGAAGTGAATATATTATAAAAGGTGACAGGTTCTTGCTAGGCTATAAGTAGAATATAGTAGAAGAGTCCGGTTTTGGACAAGTTATAGTGTTATACCGTGGGATAGGGATGGACTGGTTCCAGGCCGGGCCCGGTTCGGGCCTTGAACCGGCCGGGCCTTGGTTCAAGGTAGGGGAGGCCCGGAACCGGCCCGGGTTTGGTTTGGGCCGGGCCCGGTTCGGGTTTTTTTTTTTTTTGGGTTTTCCTAATCAACCCCCTACCCTCCCTCTCAACCCCAAACCACCTCAAATGGCCCAAAATACCCAATCCAACCCAAAAACTTAAAAAAAATTCAAAAAATAAAATAAAAAATTTAATACGGCCCGAACTGGGCCCAAACTGGCCGGGCCGGTTCACCAAAATGAAGGCCTGAGCCCGGAACCGGTAGCCAACGGGCCGGGTCGACCCGAACTGCCCATGGGCCGGGCTGGGCCGGACCGGTTCAAACAGTGACCGGGCCGGTTCCGGTTCGGGCCGCCCGGCCGGAGTCCACCCCTACCGTAGGATGATCCCATGGTGAGCATCCTACTCCCACATAAAACGTCGTCATTTAGATTTGGGGAAAATAATAAAAATACCCCAAACTTTGAAGGGGTGTGAGATGAGCACCCCAAACTTGCATATGTAATTTAAATACCCCAAACTTTATATAAAAAGTTATTTTTGCATCATGGTCATGTATTATTTCTTTCAAAAATGTAAAGTTATGGGGTTAATTGCATAAATTAAAAAAAGTGTTGCAATTATATAGATTGCGGGTAACATTATTTATTTCGCAATGGAAGTTTAGAATGTTGATTGTGTCTTCATGAATTCTAAAGTATTTTAAATTATGTAATTAACACCATAATTTACATTATTTGAAAAAAAAAAATACTTGACTACAATGCTAAAATAACTTCTATACAAAGTTTGGGGTATTTAAATTACATATGCAAGTTTGGGGTGCTCATCTCACACCCCTTCAAAGTTTGGGGTATTTTTATTATTTTTCCCTTTAGATTTAAGTTTTAACTTTAAAAAATTCACGTGAACAGTAACATTACATTTGTCTTAATTTTTTCCGTGATGTAAATTCTTTGTATTGATATGTAAATCACGTTATTGTGAAATGTAAATTCAGTGCATTCAAATGTAACTTATGCACTGCAATATGTAACTTGGTTCACTCTCTCAACTTGCTATACCACTTGAAATATAGTTTTTATAAAAATTATTTGGATAAAAAACATTTTTATATATTTATTTGTATAAAAATGATTTTTATAAAATAATTTTCTTTCAATAGCAGGAGCTTATTTTTTTGTGAGTAACTCACATTATATTGTGATGTAACTCGCCTTATGAAAATTCTAAATCATTTGTAAGCAGGATGTAACTTGCTGAGAAAAGTTGACATGTAAGTCACGTTAATAGATACTCCCTCCATCCCGCTAAAATTGTCTCATTTTACCTTTTCGGGAAGTCCCACTAAGATTGTCTCATACCCAATTTGGTAAAGATTGTATGGCTCTAAATAATTCTTACTTTATCAATTTAATATCAACCACACAAACCTACTTTTCTTAATAATCGTGTCACCTTCTTCCGTCCCAATCTTGATGGGACGGAGGTAGTATGTAACTTGAGATAAATAAAAATGTAAATCATTTTAATAATAACGAAACTTTTCTCATATACTCATGGATGCATATGCCCCGCAGAAACTTGAACAAATAGTTGAGTTCCATGGATGCCTATCCCCTGCACAACCCCAATCTCATATTTAGGCCGTAAGATCAAATCCTTCTTGTGTCAAGCGGCCAGGCCCTAGCAGCTCCAATAACTCGTTGGATTTGATCCCCATCGAGAGGTACAAGAAAGTCATGGAGCTTGGATTGAGATGAAGAAACTAGCAAGCAAAACAAACTACGAACTAGAAGAAGAATCCAACCCACTGTCAGATGCCTAGCAGCCACCGATGATGAGCCTGAGATTTCTTGGAGGGGAGTTCAAGAACTGGTCATGGGTCGTGGCCATTCAAATCGGAAGAGGATAGAGTGATTTTTATTAATTAAAAAGGCACTGTTTGGGATCGGCACATCATGCGCAAGGTGGGCCGATCTCACGGTATAATTTGCGTTTTGGACTGGATTTTGAAGATCTTTAAAATGCAATCGTAGTGGAGTGGCTAGTGGCATATTTTGAGGTTAATGTTGTGGTCCTGGAGTGGCCTTGACAGTGCAGTTTCTCGTTAAAAATGAACAAACCTATCTTAGTCGGTTCACAATCACCCATTTGGCCATTCAAGTATTATGATGTCATTTGGAAACACCGAAACTAAGGGAATGTTTGCAACTGCTTAAAAAAGTGTTTCTTAGCTTTTGGCTTAAAAAAAGCTAAAATTAGTGTTTTCAAGTAACAACTTCTACTTAAAAAGCGTTTCTTGGCTTTTGTGCAAAAAGTGTATTTTACTTTTTCTATTACCCCAAAAGCACTTATTTACCAAACACTACCAAGTAGGCCTGGACTCGGGCCGGGCCTAGGCCCGGTCGGGCCTCCGGTTTTGGAATGGGGGCCCCGGAACTGGCTCGTCCTTTGCCCGGTTCCGGTTCGGGCCGGGTCACCCGCCCGGTTCCCGGGCCGGGCCACCCGCCAGGTCGGGTCGGGCCTATGTATTTTTTTTTACTTATTAATACAACTTAAATATGAAATACATTTTCTAATAAATACTAATATAATTAGTTCTAAGTTGTAAGTTGTAAGTTTGTAACCAATTAATTAATTTGAGAAGTGCTACATATATAAAAAAAAGAATGTATATTTATTTGAAATATGAACTACAAGTTTACAAATTACAATAGACTAATAGAGAATTGAGGGAGAAATTAAAACATGAAATACATTTTATAATAAATTGTAAAATACTAATCAATCAGAATCTCCGGCATAGGAGCCACCCTCGGTTGTTGATTCATCCATAAAGTCTTGGGAGGGGGTGATGCTAATTTCTTGAGTTCTACGTATGGCCTTCAACCAATCGTGGTAGCATATAAGCGTCTCAAGAGACTCTGCGCACAAACTCATTCTAGATGCCGTTAGAACGTTGCCGGCCGAACTAAATTCTTGTTCCACGGCAACTGTTGAAACCGGCATTGATAGCACTTGCTTAGCCATCCGTGCCAAAATCGGGAACATTCTTTCTTTTGACTTCCACCACTTTAGAACGTCAAACTCCCCATTTTCATCAAATTCTACCTCATAATTTATATACAAAGAAATCTCATTAAGAGCGCTTTGTTCAGTAGTGTGAGTTGTTTTAGTTTTTTTTCACAAGATTGCCAAAAGCAGATTTAAAAAGTGATTTTTCTTTAGATGAAGATGTGTGTGTCGGGGGAGGGGGCGCGTTGCCATATTGTGCATGAAACTCATTAAATAAGGCATAAAATAAATTACTAACCTCGTTGTATTCAACTTGCGGATCTATGGCGTTATCGTCATACATTAGAAATGGACCAAAAAAACATTATAATAGAACTTCAAACATTCTTCCAAATTACCAAGTCTATAACGAGGATCGAGAATAAATGCAATACCATAAATATGCGGAATATGTGCATAATATTTTAAAAACTTTTCCTTCATAAAACCACAAATTAACTCACGTAAGCGGCATTCTCAAATTCATTAAAAGCACCGGCGAGATTAACAACTTCACAAATAAATTCGTTTGAGGTAGGTTTATAAACATGACTAAAACTATCAGTTGCATTATTAAAATATATCAAAACATTACAAATTTTTTCACAAGTGTCGATGTGAGCGGAGTTTAAAATATAGTTATCATATTATCTTAAAAAAGCAGGAAAATGTTCTTTATATCTAAGAAGAACTTTGATTAATTTATAAGTACTATTCCACCGAATAGACAAATCATTAGGAAAAACAACATATTCCACACCTCTTTCAATCAAATAATTTTGCCATTTTAATTTAAGTTGACCATTGCCCCAAATACGTCTACCCCCCCCCCCCCCCCCCTTGACTACCTCCATAGCATCTCCTAACGCTTTTATACTGTCTTGCACACATAAATTTATAATATGGCATGCATATCGTTGATGAAAAAATCTACCCATCAAAGTATTAGAATCACACAATTCACGCAATCTAGGTATATCAGCAATATTATTAGTAGCATTATAAAAACCTATAGCAAACACCTTATCAATCAAATTATACTCAGTTAAAATACGTTCAATCAAAATATAAATATGTTCAACGGTGTGACGATTATTAAATTCACGAAAAGCAAGAACACGTTTATGCAAATTCCAATCATTATCAATAATACTTTAATATATAAGTAAATAACAATAAATATAGATAATAAGTAGATATCAAAGTAAATATTAAAAAGATGGAGATGTATAAGTAGATAATAAGTATATATTAAGTAGATAATAAAAATTAGTAATATAATATATGTATATAAGTAGATAATTGTATAACTAATATATAATATAATGTTTATAGTATATAGTATATACATATATTACTATAAGATGAGTAATACACTTATATATAATACTTTAATATATATAAGTAAATAACAATAAATATAGATAATAAGTAGATATCAAAGTAAATATTAAAAAGATGGAGATGTATAAGTAGATAATAAGTATATATTAAGTAGATAATAAATATTAGTAATATAATATATGTATATAAGTAGATATTTGTATAATTAATATATAAGTAGATATACTAATTAATGTGTGTGTGTGTGTGTGTGTGTGTGTGTGTGTGTGTGTGTGTGTGTGTGTGTGTGTGTGTGTGTGTGTGTGTGTGTGTGTGTGTGTGTGTGTGTGTGTGTGTGTGTGTGTGTGTGTGTGTGTGTGTGTGTGTGTGTGTGTGTGTGTGTGTGTGTGTGTGTGTGTGTGTGTGTGTGTGTGTGTGTGTGTGTGTGTGTGTGTGTGTGTGTGTGTGTGTGTGTGTGTGTGTGTGTGTGTGTGTGTGTGTGTGTGTGTGTGTGTGTGTGTGTGTGTGTGTGTGTGTGTGTGTGTGTGTGTGTGTGTGTGTGTGTGTGTGTGTGTGTGTGTGTGTGTGTGTGTGTGTGTGTGTGTGTGTGTGTGTGTGTGTGTGTGTGTGTGTGTGTGTGTGTGTGTGTGTGTGTGTGTGTGTGTGTGTGTGTGTGTGTGTGTGTGTGTGTGTGTGTGTGTGTGTGTGTGTGTGTGTGTGTGTGTGTGTGTGTGTGTGTGCGTGCGCGCGCGCGCGCGCGTGCGCGCTGTGTGTGTGTGTGTGCGTGCGCGCGTGTGTGTGTGTGCGCGCGCGCGCGCGTGCGCGCGTGTGTGTGGCGTGCGTGCGTGCGTGCGGGCATGTGTGGAGAGATTTGGAGAAGATGAAGATGGAGATGATTGAGTATGAGAGAATAGAAAATTAGAGAGTAGGATTGTATGAAGATAGTGTGAAAAATGTAGAGAAAATAAGAGTACAAATAGGATTTTTTTG